GACAGAGTGGAACTGCCCACACCACACCCACTGCCGTGGAGTCCATTCTGACCCACAGCGCCCCTAGAGGACAGAGTGGAACTGCCCACAGGGTCTCCCAGGCTGTCAATCTTCATGGAGCAAAGCCCAAATCACACCCACTGCCATGGAATGGATTCTGACCCACAGTGCCCCTAGAGGACAGAGTGGAACTGCCCACAGGGTCTCCTAGGCTGTCAGTCTTTGTGGAAGCCGAGTGCCTCATCTTTCTCTCATGAAGCACCTGGTGGGTTTGAACAGCTGACCTGTTGTTTTACCCGCTGTGTCACCACAGTGCTTCCTATCACAAAGAAGCAAGATCAAATTAACCAAGGGGATTGGGCAAAGGGAAAATATGCAGAAAGAGAAGACGGAGTCAGGAAGGGCCGCGCCAAGAATGGCCCAGGACAGCAGGCCCTGCACCCGCGGGTCAGGTGATCGGAAATGTGAGCCTGGACTCCAAGGCAAAGATGCCAACAGCATCATTATGTGGCCAGCCCAGGTATGCCAAGTGCCCAATGCCCAGGAAGGCCAGGAGGCGGCACTGACCCCACCTGCTTGTCTACAATCCCGCGGGCTCTCACCTTGCTCCAGGTGCAGCCTGCTGCGTGGCCCTGGTCCAGGCTCACTGGGCCTCGCTGCTCTGTGAACCGTATGTGGTAGACCCAGTTCCTTTTCAGCCAAGGCAAGCCCTGATCTGGACCAACTGTCACCGTGAACAGGGCTGACTTGACAGCAGTTGACGACAGCAGACAGCTTTTAAGCCACCTCCGTCTGAGAGGCCCCCCCAGAAACTGCGGTGCTGGGGCATGGCCTCAGGCCTCCAGTGAATGATGGGGACGAGTTTGGACAGAAAGCAGCCCTGCTCTGGCCCCGGAATCCGGGGTCAGGGACTCTGGGCCGAGCCCACGTTGCCAGAAGTAATGCGTAAGAAAAACAGACCCTGGAGGCCAAGCCAGCACCCCGAGCCCGGGTCAGAGGTCTGCTGTGGAGGTGTGAGAAAGAGCTGAGGGAGGACCGGGGTCAAACATTTCAGGCCAGACAGCAAACAAGGGCTGGCCACCAGCTCCTCCCGCGGCCGCCCTCCCGGCTGAGCGAGGGGAGGGGGCGGCCGGCGAAGCTCATTACTCGGAAGGGCCCGGAAAGCCGTCTGCAGCCGTTCTCGGCTGCCCGAGCGCATCAGCGTCAGACCCAGCCCCGGCCCTGTCCCCAGGCTGCTCGCCCCGACTGGCTCCGGTTCCCAGAAGGGGAGGGTGGAGGGGCAGGCAGGGCAGGAGGGCTGGAGTCCGGGCTGGTGCCCCTGGCAGGTGGCCCCTGACCCTGTGGCGGGGCTCTGTTTCTCCCCGAGCACTTTGGTAGTTTTGCTGGTGTTGGTTTGTGACTTGGGGGGCCCTGTGTGCTGCAGGGCATGGCTGGGCTCCACCCGGTTCACCTGGCTGTGGTCCTTGTGGGAGCAGAT